GACTTCAACGGTAACCTTATTTGCTTTCTTCTTTATACAGACCCGAGTGGATTACCTTTAGTGAAATATCTGTCTTAAGCTTGTCCGCCTCCGACCCATAGATGTTTTGCTCGCTGTGCAACATATTTTCGGAAAAATTAACCCTGCCAGATGCCGACCAACGTCCGGAATATTTTTACGTTCAAAAACGACTGGATAGTGGGTGAGACCTTTCTCACCACTTTCGGCTTACCCTTTGATTTAGGGGGTTCAGCACGATCGATCTCGTCGCATCAAGCCACAATCAAGAATTTTTTGCTCTAAAGCGGATCAGATGTTTTGCGGAGGAAGACAAGACCAAGGCTTTAAAGGAGGCCAAGTTGCATTCATCCCTACCGCAGCATGAAAACTTGCTGGCCTGCATTTCCTTCGCCTATCATCCACTCAAACCGGTCGCGGGAAATCAAAACGCAATGGGTGAAGTCTTGCTCCTTCTCCCGAGATGTAAGGTACGTAGAGTCGTGTCTAAAACACACTTTTCTTCCAGGGCCGTAGTCTTCACTGTCTGTTGGAAGGCTTCAAAAACACAAATTCCTATCTCCCTGCGCACGAAATCCTACGCATTTTAGCCGGAGTAGCGAGCGGCTTGCAGGCCCTTTTTGGCCAAAACCTGGCACACAGAGATATTAAACCTGGCAATGTTTTGTTTGACGCCAGCAATAATCCTCTCTTGATCGACTTCGGTTCTATGACCGCAGCAGAGATACACATTTCTTCTGCGTCAGAGGCAGCAATATTCAGCGTAGGCGCAACGACCAATTTTTGTTGACTTTTTGTCATAGGATTTTGTCGCCGAAAATTGCACGATGCCATATAGAGCCCCGGAATTATTTCAAGTCACCACAGGCTCCGTAATTACGGAGAAGGCGGATCTTTGGGTACAGCCAGATTCGATTCTTCTTACACTCTTGTAGTCTCTTGGATGTCTCCTCTACGCACTCTGTTTTTATGAGTCTCCATTTGACAAAATTCATTCCATGGGTGACAGTATTGCCTTGGCTGTGACTTCGGGCAGGATCCGGTTTCCCGCGAACAAGGATACGTTTCGGTAAGTATGTTATTTTTTTCCAAACCATCTCAGCGTCCATCAATCATAGTATCTCGTTTGAGCATTTAAAAAGTTGCTCTTAAAATGCTTCAGTATAATTTGTTTCTGCGTACCGAAAAAGACAGAGGCTATGAGAGGATTATACCTGTTTTGTAACCCGGTTTTAGGCTGCCGGATGCGTGTATGGATCGCCAGTGTCGGATCGTTCTTCAAGTAGTCTGAAAGCCTGTAAAATTCCGATATATAAGTGCCACGCGTACTTATTTAAACGTGGTACAAATGTGACTATGCTTGATATAGTCGAACTCGATTATGACATCGACTGTACTTCCCCACGAGCGACGATCGGCGGTCACAGGTCTCGGTAGGTCAGCAATTGTTTCCTCTAGTGACGGAAATCTTATCGCAGGGAAATCCTTGCCGCTGCGATCTTCAGGTCAGCTTTTGTAGGAGAAGAGAAGAAAGACGCCAGATGGGAGGAATAGCGTATTACACACAGAGATGGTGGAGAATAGGTCGGAGGAAGTTAGCATTCGGACGACTTCACAACAGAGAAGAAGAAGACTCGATCGCTGGGACAATATGTTTATTCGCCTGACG